GCACTTGGTGGTGTGTATGTGTGTGTATTATGTGTGTGTGTGTGTGTGTATGTGTGTGTGTGTGTGTGTGTGTGTGTGTGTGTGTGTGTGTGTGTGTGTGTGTGTGTGTTCGTGTGTGTGTATGTTTGTGTGTGTGTGTGTGTGTGTGTGTGTGTGTGTGTGTGTGTGTGTGTGTGTGTGTATGTGTGTGTGTGTGTGTGTGTGTGTGTGTGTGTGTGTGTGTGTGTGTGTGTGTGTGTGTGTGTGTGTTTAACACATGGTTGCAGGGGTCGAGTCTGCAGCTCCTGGTCCGGCCTCCCTGCCGGTCGCCACGGAGTTTATTTTCTCCTGGGTGCTTGAGCCTATCATGCCTATTCTTAAAGCCATGTATGGATCCTGCCTCTACCACTTCACTGTCCAGGTTGTTCCACTTCCTAACTACTCCCAAGCTGAAGAAATACTTCTAAGCCTCCCTGGGACTCTTAACTCTCCACACACATACAATATAAACAGTAATATCCTCGTTTTATGTGCCGAATAGGTAAAACTTGCGATTTTGCCTTAAATAGCAACGCTCTTCTTGCCGAATAAGGCAAGCGAAAATTTGTGTATGCAGTAATTTCGCAAAAACAATTCTGAACCTAACGAAAAAAAATATATTTCATTGTGTTTATTTATTAAATTACTGTAAACTTATCTAAAATATATTTAGCTGAATTAGGCTAAATTAAATTACCCTTGTTATAATAAGGTCAGGTAAGTTTTCTAAGTTACTTTTGGTACAAAATTATCAATTTTTACATTAACATAAATGAAAAAAAATATATCTTTAAACTTATAAGAGAAAATTTTAGAAAGGACTTAATTTTAAATGAGTTCTTCCTAATTGACCAATTTTACCTATTCGGCACGACACACACACACACTAACTATATATATATATATATATATATATATATATATATATATATATATATATATATATATATATATATATATATATATATATATATATTCAGTGCAGAGAAGCTGGTCATGGCTTGAGGAGACTACTGGACCCAAACATTTGCGTCATCCACACACTGCTGAACAAGGGTGTCTGCTTATAGATTATACCCCGTGAATATTCTATATGTGCATGCATAATCAATAATACTTTATATATTATACCTGGGATCGGTCTCACGAGTTTTCCTCTGCTTACAGCCACTGCCCGAGACTAACTGCCTACTGAGACAATCTTGTTGCAAGCAGCCAGTATACCTTGCATCATCTGATGCACAAAGACTGCTGCAATGCTTGGGTATCTTTGTTGTCGAAACGTTCTGCCGGCGCAGCAGGCTTTCTCAGTTGAATACAAGGCTTTCTCAGTCGAATACAAGTGAATATAATATTGGAGACGGTAGAAAGTTATTTTGAGGTTATCAGTCCCTCAGAATTGACAGGAAGTGGTCAGTCCCTCAAGCCTTAACAGGACGTGGTTAGTCCTCAAGCCTTGATAGTACGTGGTCAGTCCCTCAGAACTGACAGGAAGTGGTCAATCCCTCGGCCTTGATAGAAAGTAGTCAGTCCCTAAATCCCTAAGTCCTAAAAAAAAAGATACCTGCCACAACAATATTTCTTAGTCACTCACTGCAAGAAGTGCTCCAGCAACACTCACATACTACAAAGCTTTGAGAATCTATGACCGCGGGTTCTAGCCCCACCCGTAGTATGGTTTGTTTACAATCGTGTCATTACGATTCCGTGAGTCAGATATGCTGTTAGGTTAGACACACTGAGTAAAGTTATCAATATAAACGAAGTACTCACCACGTCAAGCAGCTGATCAGTGATAGAACAATATCATTTACTCTTAAAACCTGAGATTTGTGAATCTTTCCCATCAAGCATTAGCAAATATATTTGATATTACCTTAAGAGAAGATTGAGGAATAAACATACGGAAAATATTGATACCTGGGGATACTTTACGGTCCTGGGATAGAAAAGTATCCCGAGAGCCGTGTATACCTCACTATATACATCACTTCTTCCTTAACCCAAAGTTCTGATAAATATATATAATCCCAACACTTACACAACCATGAGGGTTTAGAGCAGATCGCGTCTGCCTCTCACAATTACTCGACCTCCATGAAACGGTATCCCTGGCAAAGAGCTCTTGATTCAAGTAACTGGAGGTATGCTCCCCTTCCTCGAATCTTACCTGACTACCTGCCGCGTCCCCGTCGATGACACCCCACGCGTTCAACCCTCAGTCAATAATAATAACTGTAATAATAATAATAATAATAATAATAATAATAATAACAACAATAATAATAACAGAAGACACGGTGCTGAAAGCAACACATGCAGATAAAAACGTTGGGTTAATTTGGATTTCTAGAGTGCTTGAACAATTCTGATCATGGTGTAATAGCTGACACACACAGGTAAACAGGTGTACCACAGATGTACCACAGGTGGACCACAGATGGACCACAGGTGGACCACAGATGGACCACATGTGAGCCACAGGGAAGAGCTGGTCCAAGACCGAACCTCGGAGGAGAGGACACAACACGATCCTTGCTACCACCAACAGACAGCAGGCTGTGAAACAGACTTCTCCTTATAAAGTTGACCTCACAAGAGAAGCAACAGAGGTGTGTCCCTTTCCTGTTGTAGTCTGATGATCGCCTTCTACCGATACCAGGAGGGTTTTCCGGGGGTTAGCGCCCCCGCGGCCCAGTCCATGTTAAAGTAACTGTTAACCTATCGTCTTGGGAGTAGTCACCGACCAATAGTCAGGAGCTAGTACTGATACTCTCCCTAACTTGACACACTATAACAATATATGTAGAAACTAATATATATATATATATATATATATATATATATATATATATATATATATATATATATATATATATATATACACTTCAAGATTATGCAGGCAATAATCTACATTTAATCTGTCAAGTAATTATTCTGGACATGCTAATACAAGCACAAGAATATACACTACCATACACCATATACACTACCAAACACCATATACACTACCATATACCATAAACGAGTACATAAATAATACACAGAATACAACTACAGCATAGCAATAAACATTATTGAAGGACATAGGTTGTTGAGCAAGATGTTTGGACGACGTCTCGCCCCTTCGTAGAGCTTTCTCATGGAATGACTTGATAAAGCTCGACACAGGGCGAAACGTTGTACCTGTATCTCCATTACTGTCTGCACTACCACTAGTGTCCAATATGAGTGAGTGGCCGCTGTAAGCTCTAGTGGAACCTGGTAATCACTCAGTAACAGCAACAATACAGGGAGAGAAAGAGGGAAGAAGGGAGGGAAAGAGGGAAGAAGGGAGGGAAAGAGGGAAGAAGGGAGGGAAAGAGGGAAGAAGGGAGGGAAAGAGGGAAGAAGGGAGGGAAAGGAGTAGTGACATCAATACATAAATCAAAGACTCTTGGTCTGGTAAATCAAAGACGAGGTTTTTAGGAATCTCAAGAGATGTTTATGCCCTTTTATAAGGCATACGTCAGGCCCATCTTGGAGTATGCAGCGCCAGCATGGAACCCACACCTGGTAAAGTATTTAAAGAAACTAGAGAAACTGTAGAGGTTCCCAACGAGACTAGTCCCAGAGCTAAGGGGTATAATCTACGAGGTTCTCCTCACACACACACACACACACACACACACACACACACACACACACACACACACACACACACACACACACACACACGATAAGGCTCTAGTAGCGACCAACGAAGAGGTGGGGCTAGGAACTGTGACTTGACCCCTGCAACCACATATTGGTGAGTACACACGCCATTACTGGGTGACTGGCAACCACAACCAAAGCGCCTACAACTTCCTCACGAAACAAGTGCAATCTACAATTACTTATAACAGTAGTTACTCTAACCAACTACCCCACTTAGACAACACTTTTACAATTACTAAGAATAGTAATTACCACAACTATCACAATCACAACAGTGGCTACCATAACTACCACAATCACAAGTGGCTACCATAACTACCACAATCACAACAGTGGCTACCATAACTACCACAATCACAACAGTGGCTACCATAACTACCACAATCACAACAGTGGCTACCATAACTACCACAATCACAACAGTGGCTACCATAACTACCACAATCACAACAATGGGTACCACAACTACCACAATCACAAGTGGCTACCATAAGTACTACAGTCACAACAGTGGCTACCAAAACTACCACAATCACAACAGTGGCTACCAAAACTACCACAATCACAACAGTGGCTGCCATAACTACCACAATCACAACAGTGGCTACCATAACTACCACAATCACAACAGTGGCTGCCATAACTACCACAATCACAACAGTGGCTACCATAACTACCACAATCACAACAGTGGCTACCATAACTACCACAATCATAACAGTGGTTACCATAACTACCACAATCACAACAGTGGCTACCATAACTACCACAATCACAACAGTGGCTACCACAACTACCATCATAACAGTGGCTACCATAACTACCACACAATAATCATAACAGTGGCTACCATAACTACCACACTACCATAATCATAACAGTGGCTACCATAACTACCACACAATAATCATAACAGTGGCTACCATAACTACCACACTACCATAATCATAACAGTGGCTACCATAACTACCACACAATAATCATAACAGTGGCTACCATAACTACCACAATCACAACAGTGGCTACCATAACTACCACAATCACAACAGTGGCTACCATAACTACCACAATCACAACAGTGGCTACCACAATCACAACAGTGGCTACCACAACTATCATAATCATAACAGTGGCTACCATAACTACCACACAACAACAAAAGTGGCTACCACAACTACCACACTCATAACAGTGGCTACCATAACCAACTAGCAGACACAAAGAGATGCCACAACAACAACACAACAAGCCAGGACAGGCTAAGGCAATAAAAAGATGCCTACCTTCAAATTCGTGAAAGAGGCGAGAGTGTAGACCAGCCGGGCTCTTCTTACCTGCCGAAGAAAAAAAATTACCATTAATATTTTATCAATAATCGACCGGAAAAAGAAATACCTTCATCATCACTCACTCCATCACTGTTTTGCATATCTCCCTCTTGTTAGTTCTACTTAAGCTAAAACTACTCTCCCTGCTTTTCACTGTTACTTTCACTACTAGTATTACCACTATATGTACTATTTCTTCCTCTCTTTGTCCTGTCCCTGTCCCCCTCACCTATATATACTGGCTCCCTCACTCTCTTGTGTTAGTGCAACTTGTAAATGGTCCAAGTCGGACCGAAACGTCGTCGCCCGGGTTGTGTATTACACTCAGGTCACACTACATATACATGTACACATATATGTATACACAACCATCTAAATTTCATATTTTCTTAATAGTTCTTGTTCTTGTTTATTTCCTATCACCATGGGGAAGTGGAACAGAATTCTTCCTCCGTAAGCCATGTGTGTTGTAAGAGGCGAGTAAAATGCCGGGAGCAAGGGGCTAGTAACCTCTTCTGCATAAATTACTAAAAATAATAACTTTATAAACATTAATATATGACCTCTTAAACCTGTAGAGCGGTGCAGGCTTGATCCTCCGTCCTCTATAATACCGCTTGATTCAGGGGGTCATCGCCCCCGCGGCCCGGACCCAGACCGAACCACAAATTCACACACTTTAAGATGCACTTAATTTATTATGTTTGAAATGATGTTACATTTTATAGATACAATAAATTATTATATCATATTTCACTCCATAAATATTGTAAGTGAAAACAATGCCTGTGTGTGTGTGTGTGTGTGTGTGTGTGTGTGTGTGTGTGTGTGTGTGTGTGTGTGTGTGTGTGTGTGTGTGTGTGTGTATAGTAAAACAAGTGACAACGCAATAAACACAGCCACAGTGGGGACTATATTAATTTCAAGGCCTTTCACGCACCAATACTTCATCAGGAGCTATGGAATATAGAAAATGGGAAAAATCATGCAAACTGAAGATTCAGAATCCAACGAGAAGGCACAGACAGCCTACAGCCTACCCTGGCGAGAGTCATGAGCAGCCTGCAGCCTACCCTGGCGAGAGTCATGAGCACACTGCAGCCTACCCTGGCGAGAGTCATGAGCACACTGCAGCCTACCCTGGCGAGAGTCATGAGCACCCTGCAGCCTACCCTGGTGAGAGTCATGAGCACACTGCAGCCTACCCTGGCGAGAGTCATGAGCAGCCTGCAGCCTACCCTGGCGAGTCATGAGCACCCTGCAGCCTACCCTGGCGAGAGTCATGAGCACCCTGCAGCCTACCCTGGTGAGTCATGAGCACCCTGCAGCCTACCCTGGCTAGAGTCATGAGCAGCCTGCAGCCTACCCTGGCGAGAGTCATGAGCACCCTGCAGCCTACCCTGACGAGAGTCATGAGCACCCTGCAGCCTACCCTGGCGAGAGTCATGAGCACCCTGCAGCCTACCCTGGTGAGAGTCATGAGCACCCTGCAGCCTACCCTGGCGAGTCATGAGCAGCCTGCAGCCTACCCTGACGAGTCATGAGCACCCTGCAGCCTATCCTGGTGAGAGTCATGAGCACCCTGCAGCCTACCCTGGTGAGAGTCATGAGCACCCTGCAGCCTACCCTGACGAGAGTCATGAGCACCCTGCAGCCTACCCTGGTGAGAGTCATGAGCACCCTGCAGCCTACCCTGGTGAGTCATGAGCACCCTGCAGCCTACCCTGGCGAGAGTCATGAGCACCCTGCAGCCTACCCTGGCGAGTCATGAGCAGCCTGCAGCCTACCCTGACGAGTCATGAGCACCCTGCAGCCTACCCTGGCGAGAGTCATGAGCACCCTGCAGCCTACCCTGGTGAGTCATGAGCACCCTGCAGCCTACCCTGGCGAGAGTCATGAGCAGCCTGCAGCCTACCCTGGCGAGTCATGAGCAGCCTGCAGCCTACCCTGGCGAGTCATGAGCACCCTGCAGCCTACCCTGGCGAGAGTCATGAGCACCCTGCAGCCTACCCTGGTGAGAGTCATGAGCACCCTGCAGCCTACCCTGGCGAGTCATGAGCAGCCTGCAGCCTACCCTGGCGAGAGTCATGAGCACCCTGCAGCCTACCCTGGCGAGAGTCATGAGCACCCTGCAGCCTACCCTGGTGAGAGTCATGAGCACCCTGCAGCCTACCCTGGTGAGAGTCATGAGCACCCTGCAGCCTACCCTGGCGAGAGTCATGAGCACCCTGCAGCCTACCCTGGTGAGAGTCATGAGCACCCTGCAGCCTACCCTGGCGAGTCATGAGCACCCTGCAGCCTACCCTGGTGAGAGTCATGAGCACCCTGCAGCCTACCCTGGTGAGTCATGAGCACCCTGCAGCCTACCCTGGTGAGAGTCATGAGCACCCTGCAGCCTACCCTGGCGAGAGTCATGAGCACCCTGCAGCCTACCCTGGTGAGAGTCATGAGCACCCTGCAGCCTACCCTGGCGAGTCATGAGCACCCTGCAGCCTACCCTGGCGAGTCATGAGCACCCTGCAGCCTACCCTGGTGAGTCATGAGCACCCTGCAGCCTACCCTGGCGAGTCATGAGCACCCTGCAGCCTACCCTGGCGAGAGTCATGAGCAGCCTGCAGCCTACCCTGGTGAGAGTCATGAGCACCCTGCAGCCTACCCTGGCGAGAGTCATGAGCAGCCTGCAGCCTACCCTGGCGAGAGTCATGAGCACCCTGCAGCCTACCCTGGCGAGAGTCATGAGCAGCCTGCAGCCTACCCTGGTGAGAGTCATGAGCACCCTGCAGCCTACCCTGGCGAGAGTCATGAGCAGCCTGCAGCCTACCCTGGCGAGAGTCATGAGCACCCTGCAGCCTACCCTGGCGAGAGTCATGAGCACCCTGCAGCCTACCCTGGCGAGAGTCATGAGCACCCTGCAGCCTACCCTGGCGAGAGTCATGAGCAGCCTGCAGCCTACCCTGGCGAGAGTCATGAGCAGCCTGCAGCCTACCCTGGCGAGAGTCATGAGCACCCTGCAGCCTACCCTGGTGAGTCATGAGCACCCTGCAGGCTGCTCATGACTCATGACTGCCTCATTATGCCAAGCACAGCATAACATTGCGACTGAACTTAAATTCATGCAAAAAACTTGACAAATTTTTTAAGAAGATATCCGATATTTTAAGAAAACATCCGATATTTTAAGAAAACATCCGATATTTTAAGAAAACATCCGATATTTTAAGAAAACATCCGATATTTTAAGAAAACATCCGATATTTTAAGAAAACATCCGATATTTTAAGAAAACATCCGATATTTTAAGAAAACATCCGATATTTTAAGAAAACATCCGATATTTTAAGAAAACATCCGATATTTTAAGAAAACATCCGATATTTTAAGAAAACATCCGATATTTTAAGAAAACATCCGATATTTTAAGAAAACATCCGATATTTTAAGAAAACATCCGATATTTTAAGAAAACATCCGATATTTTAAGAAAACATCCGATATTTTAAGAAAACATCCGATATTTAAAAAAAACATCCGATATTTTAAGAAAACATCCGATATTTTAAGAAAACATCCGATATTTTAAGAAAACATCCGATATTTTAAGAAAACATCCGATATTTTAAGAAAACATCCGATATTTTAAAAAAACATCCGATATTTTAAGAAAACATCCGATATTTTAAGAAAACATCCGATATTTTAAGAAAGCATCCGGTATTTTAAAAAAACATCCGATATTTTAAGAAAACATCCGATATTTTAAAAAAACATCCGGCATTTAAAAAAAAACATCCGATATTTTAAGAAAACATCCGATATTTTAAGAAAACATCCGATATTTAAAAAAAACATCCGATATTTTAAGAAAACATCCGATATTTTAAGAAAATATCCGATTTTAAGAAAATTTCCGATATTTTAAGAAAACATCCGATATTTTAAGAAAATTTCCGATATTTTAAGAAAACATCCGATATTTTAAGAAAATACCTGATATTTTAAGAAAATACCCGATATTTTAAGGAAATATCTGATATTTTAAGAAAATTTCCGATATTTTACGAAAACATCCGATATTTTTAGAAAATATATCACGACACTGTAGGTAATGTAAGAGAATATTTTAAGTAAAGCATCATGACTTGATAACGATAATAGCCGATATCAAGCCTGGATATATCACAATCCTGGTTAACACGACCATGTAACAACCAACTTGCATAATTAACCAGACTAATTAGTGACCCAATTATTCGACTCTGAGTAATTCTCATCGTGCATATTTAACACCAGCAGCATTACTTTCGTTTGGATAATTAACATGGGACATCTAACATAGCGTGGGATATCTAACAGCGTGGGATATCTAACATAGCGTGGGATATCTAATTTAACATGGGATATCTAACATAGCGTGAGATACCTAACATAGCGTGAGATATCTAACTTAGCGTGGGATATCTAACTTAGCGTGGGATATCTAATTTAACATGGGATATCTAACATAGTGTGGGATATCTAACTTAGCGTGGGATATCTAATTTAACATGGGATATCTAACATAGTGTGGTATATCTAACTTAGCGTGGGATATCTAATTTAACATGGGATATCTAACAGTGTGGGATATCTAACTTAGCGTGGGATATCTAATTTAACATGGGATATCTAACATAGTGTGGGATATCTAACAGTGTGGGATATCTAATTTAACATGGGATATCTAATTTAATATAAGGTACCTTATTTATCTCCTAATTTAATATGGGATATCTTTCATAACAAGGGAAATAGTACCAATAATGAAACTTTTCACATCGTCTGTGCCCCCTCGTTTGGAACACTGTTCAGTGTTGACGGCCCCATTCATGCCAGGAAACAACACAGAGATGGTACAGATACAGAGATTGTTTACGGTCCGCAGAGAGCCAATAAAGCAATTAAATTACTGGGAACCCCTTAAAGTTTTTAATGTGTACTCACTGGAGCGGAGGAGAAAGAGATACGTG